CATGGAAGAACAAGCAAAATCACCAGTGTCTCTGCACAATTATGCTCCAGTTCCTAACTCTCCTAAGCCACAAAAATAACCGCTCTGGATCTAAGTTATAAATAAGAACAAGCACATGCATTTCACAGAGTTTACCACAAGTTTACCCTAAACCGCATGTAGGGGATCACACAATACCCTTAAGGAATATTTTAATCCAAGACAATGACAGCAAAGACTTTATTTTTTTCCATGGAAAATGATTACTGTCCTATTAAGTCTTAAATTTCCTCTTTATTTCTATTATATTCTTATTTATTTCTATTTTTATTTCTAACCTAGGTGCGCAGCAAGTAAAGTAGAAACAAAGGGATTGTACATCCCCTGGAAATCAGAAACCACTCCTGCTAGGTCTCACCTGAACATGACTTTCACGGCACTATTTTGCCCCAGCTTCTTTGGCAGCACCACCGCTTCAAGGTGCTGACCGAAAGCCTTCCATCCTCCAGGACTATCCTCCGGAGGCCTCTCTTCCTCTGCAAACGCCCGGCGCAGCTCCACAAATCAGCCAGCACGGACATGCAGAGAGGCGAAGCATGACTTACGGGCGGGTGACGCCATCCCACAGCAGCTGAGCTCCGCCGCTTCCCGCAGACCCGGGCACAGCACGCAACAAGCCGGGGCGGGAGGAGCGGGGAGCTGAAGCGGATACCGAGCTGAAGTGGGAAGAGAGGGAAAAGAGGGGGTGACCACCCTTTGCTTTCTCACCCCACCCCATCGTCCTGCTTTTACGTGGTGCTCACAACCACGGCGTGCACATGCGCCTGAAGTGCAGCGCGGTCGGGATTTAGGCTTCCAAGTCCAAGACCGTGATTTATCCATAACTTGCTTGGGATTTGCAAACCAACCCTTCTTGCCCGAGGCTCCTGAGCACGTGGAGCAACGGGCGTAACAGCTGCACACACCGAACCTCCTCTCGCTGCCCCAAATTCAGCAACACCCACAGCGACTTCCCTTGGGGGCCACCGAGGGGACCTCGGTGCATATACATAGTGATTGCAATTTTATAATGATCCTGGGCTATGCCAGATGCTTTTAATCTCTGGCAGGAGAAGCAAGTGATTCAAACAACGTTTCCATACAACATGCAGGAGCGGTCACTAGCTGAGCGAACAGCAAGGTCGCTTTGCTCATTTCTTAGAGCACTGTCAAAATTCCTTACAAGCCTATCCTCTATTTTTCACCTTTGATTCCAGTTAAATAAAGGGAAGGCACAAAAAAAATCCTCTTATAAAAGAGCAAACAGAATTCCTAGTGGTTGAAGGACTCCTGCTACTCTGGACTGTTTATAGCTATAAAGGGAGGCCTTAAGCCTCATTGTTTCTAAGACTATTCGTATCAGACATATAACTAATGAATAGAGATTGTTTTAGATGTGAATAATAGAATGCAGGTGCTTATAAAACAATATGCATAAGCTGCTTATTTGTCCCTTGTGTAGCCCTCACCATGGCTGGCTTAAAACCCAGTCAAGCTGAATCAACAGAAAAAGGATCATAGATCTTAGACCTAAGACATAAGAATAGATAAGTGATTAACTTTAGAGTAAGATGAATTAATAAAACAACCTGAGTGATTCTCAGAAATTCAAAGGTGATTTCTGATGTGTAAGAAGATAAGTGATTGTGGTGACCAGAGACCTTCTGCCTATGACCACTAACTTCAGAAGAACCGGGACGAGACAATAAGAATCAGCTGAGACAGGAAAATGTATTGGACTTTTGAAACCACTGGAGAGTAGAGAACTGAGAGTTCATGGAAGAACACCTAGAGCTTCTTTTGGCAGATCATCAATTGCGTATTGTTTTGTAAAATTGTATATATATAGGAGGTGTTTTTGAGTTATCTTTTGCCATTCACTGTGGTGGTGGCCCCACTCTGAGTTGTTAATAAAGCAAACCTAGAGAAACCCACATTTGAAAATTCTTTAACAATAGCACAGGTGCTCTCCTGTGGAAATCAAACCGCTCCTAAGAATAACCTAAGGCAATCTTATTTATAAAGGTTACAAACTACAAGCAGCTCGTATTTCAATGAGTCCTTTCTCTCTCCCTCTTTTTGCTCTTGCTATCTCTTATCCTCTCGCCCATTTTTCAACAGCAGGACTAACGAGGAGTAATTTGAGAATGATATATGACTGGGTTTATTTGCCACATCTTTTTATATTCAAATAGTCAATCTGTTGCTTCCAGTAATAGCAGGTAGGCAGTATGCTTCCTCCTGCCCTCCACAAAAGAAAACAGAGAAGGAATTAGCCATTGATTCAGATACATCGTGGTGTGCACTACGTGTGAGCTGGCTGCCTTGCAGGCAGATGCTGCAAAACTACTCGGCATCACTCCAGACTCCAGACTGTACTTTAACGATGACATATTGGGAAAGCCTGCAGCAAGTTAAAGAGACAAGAACCATGCTCACCGGCAGATACGATGTTTTTTCACTCTACATGCTGGATGTGAAAAATATGCCGGGTGCTGGCCGGGGTGATGGAACTTACTGGACAGACAATTAGCAAAGCACATCGGCTGGGTTCAGACTTGGCTTATCCTGAAGTCAGCAGTACTGCTCTTGTTTAGACAGAGAGCTAAGTTTGAATTTCAGGTGATAAATTTTAAGAAAAATCTCAAGAGGTCTTGATTTGGTACAATGCATTCATAAAATTTCCCACTAGAAACGCTATAGTTCAGTGACCCTTGAAACTCAAGTTTACGATGACTGGGTGGGCTCTGAAAGAGGACGCATCTGCTTCATGGTATCTAGGTTTACTGAACTCCTCCTATAACTGCCTATACGATATATGTCATACGTTATGACACGAAAATATCTTCCCACGCCCAGCCCTGCTCAAGCAGGGAGTCTGGGGAGTGACACTGGGAGATAAAACAGGAGGCCTGGCCTGTGCCCTTCACACCTGCTCGATAAGCAGCCACCTCGCATTCTGCACGACTGACCCAGCCTGGGCTTGCCCACGGTGGACCCCGCTTGGTCACGCTGCAGGGAAACCGCACGGGCATTGCTTACAAACCAGGGAGGGTATGATAAGCAAATGACCTGCATGTTGTGAAGCCAAATATTGGCTACATGAAGGATGAGAGAAGATATAGCAATGGTTAAGACTTTAAGAAGCACAATAAATACACTGAAAGCGCTTTTCTGCATATGCAGACCTGAAAATTAGGTCCAGAGAACACTGTTGGCTCAGAAAGCCAACCGGACGCTGCGTTTCCCTCCTCTAGCAGCAGAGAGCCCCAAAATATGAATGAACTAAAGCAATCTGGGTCTTATTTGGTTGTTCAGCTCTGATGACACATCTTCCCTGCGCTCTCCCTAGGCTAATGACAAGGAAACAAATACAGGCAGAACAATACTGACCTTGGCATCGTACTGGCAAAGTTGCCGTACCTGGGTTTTTGTCACTAGGTACTACTTGCACTTCTTGTGTCACCTGTGCCCCAAGTAAGAATTAAAGGTTTAATAAGCAAATAGTCTGTTTTTCTCTTGAATCACCAATAATTTCTACTCGAATCCTGGGACAGCCTAAAATTTTACCCAGATAAATTTTTGAGAAACTTGCTGTCTGACAGAGCTTAAGGCAAGCAGCTGGTCAGGGTGGCTCCCGTAGGCTCTCTCCTTAAATTCGGTGCGTCCCCCTTGAGCTGCGACCTGAGACGCTCCACGCGGAGCAGAGCGGCATGCTCAGTGTAGAAGCCAAGGGGCAGCGCCTGGGGGTGCTACGTGCTGAGTCAGCTACTCCCAACCAGGAGTGGTGATGTGAAGCGGCGGCTGCGACCCCTCTAAATCCTCTAAGTGGAAGAAGAAAAGATGGTTATGCTCCCGAGACATGGCCAGTAGCGGTGCCAAGGGCACGGAGTAAGCGTCACCAACATCCACCCTGCTCTCGGAGGCTGCCCTCCTCTCTTGGGAGCTCCTGCCCTTGTGAGCCCAGCCTGGCGTCCCATACAGCGCTTCGCTTTTGAAGGAACAGGGTGACACACAATTATTCAATGGAAAGTATGAAATAAGGGAAACGTGAATGTTGTAAGCACAGTTTTATGACTGACAAGACTATAATCGCCCTTGGATGTGATTTTTGGGTGACGGACTACATTTCTCTCCCTGGTTTGAAGACTTGTGCCCCTGCAGGCTTGCCTGCTTCCTCCACCTGCACTGACTGCCCTGTAAAGGTATCACCTCTCCTTACAAGCTTCTGGGACCCCACCAGCAGAAAGCAGTGCCCCCTCCGACCTCCTAAAAGAGCTTTCCATCCTTCCTCGCCCATTCCGCAGCCTTCACAGCAGCCGGCAATTTGCCTGGGGGGGGGGGGGGGCGGGGGCGGGGGGACGGGCCGGGCGGTCCCTCAGCAGCGGGGCACCGGCGCTGCCCACCCGCACCGGGTGACACCGGTTGACTTTCGGATGCTGCCGCCGAAGTAAATCCCCCGACAGCACAGTTCCTCCGCCGGAAAAGCCGGGCCCTGCCCCGACCCTCGGGAGGACGCAGGCGGCCGTGCCGGCTCCAGAAGCGGGCTGCCGGCCGCCGCACCGG